TTCTATTCTATTCTATTCTATTCTATTCTATTCTATTCTATTCTATTCTATTCTATTCTATTCTATTCTCCACTATAATTTTGATACAGAAGTGAGTGCTAGAGCAGGATTACAAAATGTGGCTTCTTTAAGTACTCTGTCTCTGTTGTTCTGTTTTCACCCCTGTGGGCACATTGACAAATAAAATAGGGCAGAAAATGGAAGATAAAATTTCATCCATCCCACCTGTAACTGCTGTCAGCCCAATCCTCTTCTTCCTCTTCCTCCTCCTTCTCCTTGGATTGCAGCCAAGATGCCTCCACCCAAGTTAGTTTTGCTATTTACTGGTAGATCAAGTCAGTTTGAAGGCAAGCAGTGCAGAATTTGTTTCAAGACTTTTCTTTTTCAAAGCCTGCGAGTCATACTGCTGCGTAGATGCCATTTTAATGCACTTTACCACTCTAACATAATGCAAAAGATGTTATGCATTCTTCGACTGTAGTGGTGTTCCGATCATGGCTCCCTCTACTCCTATAGCATAATCCTGGCTCTGGTTAATTAGATTCCAGAAGAAATCCCTTTAGTCTAATGCTTTCCTATTGCCCTTCCTTGTCAAGCACAGACACTGATGTTGCTCTAATCAGGAATTCATCTTGCTTACTCTCTGCATCCTAACTGCTCCCTGGAGGAGGCTAAAGTGTGCTTATGCATATTGTAGAGATTTATTCAAAATGTCTGCAGCATGGGCAGTAATTTGAACTGTTCAATCTTTGCCCTGTCCCTTCAGGCTGGCATGATTCGCACGGACAAGGACGAGTATTTCATTGAACCTCTGAAGAAGGGGAAACAGGAGGAGGAAGAAGGAAGGACCCATGTGGTATACCGCAGGACAGCTGTCAAGGGAACATTTCTCAGAGAGCACCCAGACACCCAGCCTAGAGGTAAGGTTACGGTGGTCCTGAAAAGTGATTCCTGAACACTTTCAGATAAAAGCATGTGTTCAGTAGCACCATAGGTAGAATTGTTCAGCTACTACTGCTTTATATCCTTGAGGAATGAGATTCCTTCTTTCTGGTTGTTGTGCTTCAACATTTGTTGCTTAAATGCAATAGAAGACCTAAAAGAAATGGGTTTAGGTTAATTAAGCTTCCTGACATCAATTGTTGTCCTAAATACTTGTTTTTTAATTGTCCAAGCAATAAAACAGGCAGCATAGGCCAACTGTGACAGGTTTGAACTAGGGAAAGAAGGTCTTTAAAATGCAGGTCCATTGTATATGAATTAACAAAGAATGCTAGATGTGAAAGAACCAGGAACCTCTGTGAATAATATAGATATGCATTGATAGCACTAGTCAGGCCTTTAGCTGACCTTGGAAAATTTCAAAAAGTGTATAGGAAGGCTTCTTGTGTCCCCAATGGCCCCTTGTATATTATCCATTCCCTCCATTCTCGATATGGAAATCAGAAAGGAAGACACTGTTTATGCATCTAAGTGCAAAAAAAAAAAAAAAAATGCAACTAGCATTTGCTTTTAGACCTGCACACTGAATTTATAAGGATCAAGAGTTGACCTGAATTAGCATAGCCATCCCTCTGGCCTTGCAGGGTTCCATGCATAGATTGAATGTTTGAACAGAATTGTTGCAAAAGTTTGTGTGGCTGAAACAATCAGCCTAGCTTGAGCACACCAGATTGATGTGGTCAGAGACATTATTCAGGCTGTTCCCACCTTTAGATATTGATTCTGAACTGTTGCATAATCAAGTGCTGATAAATCAAGACTCACATAGTATGCTTGAATTGGCCCTTAGGGTTTTGTCCAATTTCAGCACTGGTGAATTGTTTCCAGAGCCTTGTAATTATCTAGGACTGTAAGTAGGTGTTTGCTTTCTTCATAATATTATATTTATTCTTGATTGTGCAAAAGTGTGTGTGTTTGGAAAAACCCTTTATCTGTTCAGTCTTTCCTTAGATTTGAACATTCTAGAATCCTATCTTGCTGTTAAGAGTTGATCAGAGTTAGACTTGGAAAAGTTGTGTTATAAGAGTTGGTTTATTCTCTGTTGTACATTTTTATAGTGCTCTGAGATTTTTAATAAAATAAGTGTTGTCGTACATGAGAAGGGGCAATAGCCCAATAGTCATGCTCATGCATGGCATACCGAAGATACCACTCCCAGTTTTGGAACTTCCAATAAATAATTTAAAGTGAAACATGATGGGAAAGATTTCTTGGGCTTGATGGGTGAACGTCTGATGTCAATCATAGTTTCCAATATTCCAGTAGCAAATTCATAAGAACTGTTACAAAGCAGATGGGTGAGAATCTATTATGCTGTTCCTCCACTGTACAATACATGATGTAATGTAACATCACATGATGTTAGAGGGACTTGGGTTTGCTAAGTAAAGTGCCAAAGGATAAGTTACAAAGGGTCAAGCTTGGCTTTATAGCAGATAGAAAATACTGAGGAAGCCATGGCATTTCCACACCATTTATCTTGATCTTTCCATCTTCCTCTTCATTTTAGCAGAAATTTGTGTCTCATCGACTGTCCTGCACATCAGGAGCTAGAACCTCACTTATAGTGAAGGGCTTTGTCCCATAAAATAAGATTGGACTACCAATTTAGTTTTTTTCTGAACGGGGTGGCGAGGTGGAGGTAGTGTCATCTTATTCTTTATCTAAAGCAACTAAACAAGCTAGGTGCTAGACAAACATTGAACAATAAAGGTACATTCTCTCTCAAGTCAAACTATGTATCCCTGTAGCCTACAGCCCTGGGGCCAACCCTGCCTAGTGTTTTGTTTTCTTGAATCAGCCAAACAGCTAAGTGCTACTATCTGTTGAGAACAGACAAGGCTCACATATGAAAAATAGTTGTTCCTGATCCTAATGATTTAACTATACGTAATTTACAACGTGAGAGAGTGAATGGAAGAAACAAAGCATTGAATAAGTGTTGCTTTACAAGGTAATTAGTCCTTTGTTTTTGTTTTTTAATATACTTGTTTACTAAATACTTTTTTGGGTGTGATTATCTGATTTAGCTGCTTTGTTATTTATTTATCAAATGTAGAGGTGAAACTCGAAAAATTAGAATATCGTGCAAAAGTTCATTTATTTCAGTAGTGCAACTTAAAAGGTGAACCTAATAAATGAGATAGACTCATTACATGCAAACAAGATAGTTCAAGCCGTGATTTGTCATAATTGAGATGATTATAGCTTACAGCTCATGAAAACCCCAAATCTACAATGTCAGAAAAGTAGAATATTGTGAAAAGGTTCAATATTCTAGGCTCAAAGTGTCCCACTCTAATCAGCTAATTAAGCCATAACACCTGCAAAGGGTTCCTGAGCCTTTAAATGGTCTCACAGTCTGGTTCAGTAGGAATCAAAATCATGGGAAAGACTGCTGCCCTGACAGTTGTGCAGAAAACCATCATTGACACCCTCCCTAAGGAGAGGAAAGCCTCAAAAGGTAATTGCAAAAGAAGTTGGATGTTCCCAAAGTGCTGTATCCAAGCACATTAATAGAAAGTCATGTGGAAGGGAAAAGTGTAGAAGAAAAGGTTGCACAAGCAGCAGGGATGACTGCAGCCTGGAGAGGGTTGTCAGGCCATTCAAAAGTGTTGGGGACTTTCACAAGGAGTGGACTGAGGCTGGAGTCAGTGCATCAAGAGCCACCACACATAGACGGATCCTGGACATGGGCTTCAAATGTCATATTCCTCTTGTCAAGCTGCTCCTAAACAACAAACAACGTCAGAAGCGTCTTACCTGGGCTAAAGAAAAACAGAACTGGTCTGTTGCTCAGTGGTCCAAAGTCCTCTTTTCTGATGAGAGCAACTTTTGCATCATTTGGAAACCAAGGACCCAGAGTCTGAAGAAAGAATGGAAAGGCACATACTGCAAAATGCTTGAAGTCCAGTGTGAAGTTTCCACAGTCTGTGTTGATTTGGGGAGCCATGTCATCTGCTGGTGTTGGTCCACTGTGCTTCATTAAGTCCAGAGTCAACGCAGCCATCTACCAAGAGATTTTGGAGCACTTCATACTTCCTTCCGCAGACGAGCTTTATGGGGATGCTGACTTCATTTTCTAGCAGGACTTGGCACACACTGCCCACACTGCCAAAAGCACCAAAACCTGGTTCAATGACCGTGGGATTACTGTGCTTGATTGGCCAGAAAACTTTCCTGACCTGAACCCCATGGAGAATCTATGGGGCATTGCCAAGAGAAAGATGAGGGACATGAGACCGAACAATGCAGAAGAGCTGCAGGCTGCTATTGAAGCATCCTGGTCTCCCATAACACCTCAGCAGTGCCACAGGCTGATAGCTTCCATCTCACGCCACACTGAGGCAGTAATTGCTGCAAAAGGGTCCAAACCAAGTACTGAGTACATATGCATGCTTATACTTTTCAGAGGTCCGATATTGTTCTATGTACAATCCTTGTTTTATTGATTGCATGTAATATTCTAATTTTCTGAGATTGTGGATTTGGGGTTTTCATGAGCTGTAAGCTATAATCATCTCAATTATGACAAATCACGGCTTGAACCATCTTGCTTTGCATGTAATGAGTCTATCTCATATATTAGTTTCACCTTTTAAGGTGCATTACTGAAATAAATGAACTTTTGCACGATATTCTAATTTTCAAGTTTCACCTGTATATAGCTGCCCATCTAATTTGCATGTACTGGTATAAGAAAATGACTTTGGGAGACAGATGGGAGACTACACAATGGTCTGATGAATGAAATCTGAGTCTAAAGGAGAGCTGGGGGTAAGAAAGCATCTCAGAAGGGATCTTTTCTAGCTTTTGGCAGAATGAAAGTAAGGAAGGGGAGAGGTGCTTTCAGACTTGCAAGATTCTATAACTGTAACCTTGTTTGTTTGTTTGATTGATTTGAACTCATGGACTCCTCCTTTCCAGCCTGGTGCCTTAAGCACTAGACCAAAGAGGCCCTATATTACAATTACGGTGGTGTTAATACTTATGGCTGATGCTTCTTGTCTGGGCTACCTTGAAGAGCTGACAGAATGTAGCTTGGGCAGTGCACATAATTAAAACAAAACCATTAAAAATATAAACAAAAACATGGGAGTGCATTCAAAATTTTAAGGATTTTCTTAAGTTCAATAGGTTTGGAGCCAATCACATCTCAAGGGAGATGATGTTCAACAGGACAGGTGTCATGGCAGAGAAGGCTCACCTCCTGGGTCCAGACTGGTGGAACACCTAAGCAGACTGGGCCCAGTGATGTGCTCCTCTTGTTGGAAATGTTGTGCTAATGGCTGCCAAATCTAGAGCTTGCTTTCCCCTTAGCCAAGTTTGATTAGTTGATTAAAATGCTGCTTAGCAATGGCAGGAAATACTCACCCCTACTACACAGATCAATATCAATCATACATTTTACAAAGTTTGTTACTCTTGGAAATGTAGTGGGTATAGAAGAGAGACATAGCATTAATTGGGGATCCTATTTATCTATTGCTTTCTATCTCATCACTGCAGCCCTAGTGAATGCATATGAATGCACGTTGCTGCTGATGAAAAGATACTCATCTTACTCAAGTAAGCTGGAATATAGGAGGGTTTGAAAGTGAGCAGAGATTGGGCATGCTTGCTGGCATTCATTAAGTCTGACTATGTTTTTAGATGAGAGATCGAAAGGATAATTGATTATATGATAAATCACACATCTTTGGATGAAACAAGGCCCTGCTTCCACAGGATTCCAGATTTCATGGGTTGCAAGAGTAGATTACTTTAGACTTTCTGATTAATCCTTGGAGATCAGAGAATGAAAGAGGTGAGGTTGCATGTGCAGCCCTGATCCCTACCCGTTTTTTTGGGTTGTTACACATTCAAGCAAACTTCTTGAAGAAGGTTTTTAATCGTTTAAATTTGTGCTGAAGCCAAATGATCAGGTTTCCCATGTAGCACATTTTTGTTATT